TAATTTATAATATTTAAACTTATGAATATTTATTTTATATATATATAAATATATATATGAACCAATTCCAGTCAAACACGAGAGACCAACTTTTGTTCGTGTCGGCTCATTTACATTTCGAGCATAAAAATTTGTTTGTATTCGACTCATTAGGCTTAACGAATGAGCAGAACACGAGTCACTTAACTAGCCGAACATGAGTTGTTCGCAAACAACGAGCTAAATAAGCTAAAAAAAATTATAATATATTTAAAAAAGCTAAAAAAAATTATAATATATTGCACTTTTTTTTTTGATTGAATTGCATGATATTGGTCACATTAGAAGCTAAAAAAAATTAAAGCTTTTATGATTTGATTTTCTATAATTTTGATTAAATAAGATGCAAATTTGAAATGAAAACAAAAATGATTAGATGAAGACTAAACTGAATATTTCAATTTTTTTCCATGAAACATATTTCCTAATGGAATTGCATGATCATAGCCTCGGAAAGATAAAAAAATTTACACAATTTTTATCATTTAATACCTACAATTTTACTTTTATAATTTGCAATTTCAAAACATAATATAAAGTGCAAAATGAAAAATGAAATATAGCTCAAGTTTCAGCTTATGGGTCAAATTATAGCCTATTTGAGTTCAATTCAGTTATTTGGTGACAATAGAAGGAAAATCTTATGTCATATGACATTGGATATAAGTTGAGGAAAAGACTAACAGAAAAATTAGGACAACAGAAACAATTGGAAAGTGCAGTTCAGACAACCTTCTGATGCATCCAAGAGCAGTCATCTCAGAGGCCTTTGATTGGAAAGGCAGCGCAAAAGCTTGAGGGAATCATAGAAATTGGAAGGCCTCTACCTCCAAAGGCAACCGATACATCTTCTACCACTGACAACAACAACATGAAACACTAGCACTCATTCAATTGTTACTGGTTCTGTGCCACATCCTTAATCTTTAAGTTTTGTTCAAGAAAAAACTTCAAATTTATTACTATCTCTGGAAAACTAAGGAAAGGTATCTTCATCACTGCTCGTGCAAGAGCAGTCTGCAAGTCGATATTTCATAAGTAGCACTGTTCTATTTTTTGGATTCTTCTGTCATCATCAGGCTTTACTCTCTGTATTATAAGTATTTTAAAATCTTCTTGTAGCATTTTATTTCATCTTATTTTGTTGGGGTGTTCATGGTCTAGCATTTGACTGGTGTCATAGAAATATGGCTCTTTTACCTTTGAGAAACTCCAGCAACTTTAGTTCCATTTTATTATTTATGCATTAGAAATTTAGAACCCATTAAACCTTTGCAACCCGGAACACTTCAAAAAGATTTAGTGGTTTAGTAAACTAGAAGTTTTTCTTTTAGAAAAATTAACAAATTTCTTCATTGTACCATTATGTGAACTTTAATTCCGTGTATGACTTGATTGAGATTTATACTTATGTGACTACCGATTGCTTCAAATAAATTTTTGGCATCACTTTTTCCTTGTTAATTATCATTATTGATGATGGCCATAATATTACTGCCCATTATTACATATAACATAGATGTCAATTGAATCCTATGAGATTGATGCATGCCATCAACACTAATGATATTGATTATTAATTTTATCAGGGTGATTTTCTACCATCACACATAATATTGAGGTTCATCATCACCAACATAAATGATACAAATTTTTAACTACTAGTCTAACACCCAACAAAGCATGCATAGCAGTTTTATATTATTGACATGAATAATGATGTCAAATGATGCCAACAAAGCCAATACTTTTTTTTTTATAATAATATTTACACATTCTAAGGCTAATAAAGTTGACTTCTACAATCATCCTAAATTTTACTTCTTGTCAATGTTAATTTTGTCATTACCAACAACAGTAATGTATATCATTGCTGAAAAGGCTAACACAATCTCTTAACACTTATGCAAAAATATCTACATCAATAAGGTCACCATCTTTCATATCCAACAAAAT